TATTTATTTGATTGATTTCAGAGAGGAAGGGAGAGAGAGACAGCAACATCCATGATGAGAATCATTGCTTGGCTGCCTCCTACACGCCCCCTACTGGGTATGGAGCCTACAACCCAGACACATACTGCCCTGACCGGAACTGAACCATGACCTCTTGGTTCATAGGTCGATGCTCAACCACTGAGCCACGCCAGTCGGGCCCTATGCTTTTCTTTAAAATTGACCAGCTGGAAGAGGGTGATATAGGACCTGGGCTGGAGATGACAAGGACCTACATTAAACTGGGAGAAAACAAAATACCCAGAGTGAGAGGTGATTGATAAGGGGAGCATATTTGTGGAGGAAGTTCAAGTGCTTGTTGTGTGAGCTCTGGCCCTGGACAGAGAGCCTTGTAACAGGAGCCTTCATCTACCCCCAAACTTTATCCCTGACCATTTGCCCCAGCTCCACTATGAACCCCAATCTTTGACTCTGAGAACTTTGGTACTCTAGGGCCCATAAATATTTTTCAGCTTCTCAGACTTCCAGTGGTTTTCAGCAGGAATCCTAGGCTGTTCCATCTCTTGCTCATCTCTCATCTTTGGGGCCACCTCCCGGTATTTGATTTTGTTGGATATTCTGGTTTTGCTTTTGTTTTTACCTAGTCTGACTCTGTCACCTCCAGCCCCGAGAAAGGGTCTCCAGAGCCCCCCAAAAGGCAAGTGTTGGCCCAGGACCTCAGAGGCTCCCAGCCTGCCTCCAGACCCTGCCCTGTACGGGTCCCCCCAGGACCTTCACAGCCCCCAGTGAGGTCTGGGCCTGGGGTCAGCAGCCCACGCTGCTCACTATGGTGCTGTCTCCCTGTTGTGTCTCCCACTGCCTTCCCTGCTGCACCTGCCCCTCCCCGCCCCGCCCCGGAGTCATGCCCTCTAGCCCCCCGCTGGCTGCTGCCTCCTCCATGTCCCTCTCGGCGGCTGCCCCCACCACCAGCGTCTTCTCCTTCTCACCTGTCAACATGATCTCCGCTGTCAAACAGAGGAGCGCCTTTGCCCCCGTGCTGCGCCCACCAAGCTCCCCAACCCAGGCCTGCCCCAGAGCCCACGGAGAGGGGCTTCCAGGTGAGTGAGTGGTTCATTCTGCCCCACTGTGGCCTGGTGGAGCAGCTGGGCTTGAGGGGCCCATGCCATCCACATCTCACCAGAGCCTCATGCCAGTTGACCAGTTCTCCCTGTAGGGTACAGAGCAAGGAGCTTTGTAGGAGTCCAAGGGGACCCCACTTCCCTGTCCTCATAGCTTGGGATGATCACCACTCCTGATGCTATCAACTGGCCACTTGACCAAGGGAAAGGGGACTCAAATTCCAGTTGGAGAAGGTCTGAAAACCATCCCAAGGCCCCACCCCATCCAGTTGAACCCAGGGCAGAGACCTAATACTCAGCTGGAGGAACCCCACGTGGACTGCATGCTTTTCACCTGTGTGTCCACTGGAGGGTAGCACACACCACTGTGAGGGACTGGGTCGCTTGCTGATGGAAGGGGACTGGCCTTGGACAAAGTTTAGCCCAGCTTCCTCCCCGCCATTTTCCAGATAAGAAATTGAGACCACATCATCCCTCCACATCCCAATTGTGAAATGGTTGTCATTTGCCACTTCATTTATCAGTCTCCTCCAACTCAACATCCAATTTCACAGCCTGAGCCCTAACCAATAGTGTATAGCAAGTCAAAAGAAGTCACATCCCCTAGAAGATGACTGTTAGGATGGGCTTGTTAGATAATGCTCTAGGATGATTTGAAAGGGCAATCCTTTTTTTGCCTTGTTTTTTTTTTTTTAACCCAAGACAGTTTAAAATGTGAGGGACATCGATACCAACCATGGGAGGGGGGTAGGCAGGGGCAAGGGTGATGGGAGTGATGAATGTCATGGAGATAGGGGAGGAAGCCACACTGCTGCTGCTGCCGCTGCATTGGGTATCAGTGCTCCTGGAGGCTGACCTCTTTTCTTTTCTGTCCTGGTACCTGGCCATCTGCTTCCTCACCTCGAGCCAGGCCCTCTGGCAAGCCTCGCCTAACTCTCTGCAATGCTGGTTCCAGACCAGAGCTAGGGCTGGCTGACTACCTCCAAGGCTCTTGATAGCACTGTACTCAGCCCTGTACACTGTCCCCAGCCCAGAGAGGGCAGGCAGATAAGCTCCCCAGGCTACACATGGCTTATAGCCCCTCCCCTTGGTTACTACAGACCAGCCTTTTGAGGATTCTGAGAAGTTCCACTCTCCAGCCCGGGGGCTTCAGGGCTTGGCGTACTCCTAATTACGGTAAGTCTCTGGCTGGTCCTTTCCCAGCCTTAGATGGGCTATCTCTCCAAAAGACCTTAGCAAGTATGGGGAGCTGGCGCCCAGGTCTTCCTCTCCAGGGCCCATCCAGACAACTGTCAGGGCCACGTAGCCCATGCAGTGGCCCAAACTGAACAAGTGTCAAGAAGTGGCTTCCTGTCCCCTGCAGCCAGCCTTCATTCAGGACCTTCTCTCCATCTCCCAACCAGGTCTGCAGGTCTGGCCCCTGCTGGCCCGGACTGGAGGTCCCACCAGGATTCACACCCATGGCCTGGATGGCAGCACAGACAGATGCAGGGCCAGGGCTGTGGACAGACCTCAACCCATGGGCCTGAATGGGGAGAGGACTTCCTCCCCATGCTCAAGGCCCTCCACAGGCTTCTTTCACCTCCCTTTCTTGGGGCTGGTCGAAGCCCCAGCACTGTGCTGATGCTTTTGGCAGGAGAGCATCCCAGGGAGGTGCTGGGATGTAGGACTTCGTACTCTGGACCGGTTCCTGTGGAAGAGATGGACTTTGTGCAGACCTGAGGCATCAGGTGACAGGAGCACAGGAAGTGGACTGTGGGAAAGGATAGCTCAGGGAGAGGTGGCCTGGGAAGATCCCATTTGTGTCTGGCCCATCTCGCTGGGCCAGCACCCACTTCTCTTTAGGGCAAGGGAGATGTCCAGCAGCCTCAGAAGGCTTGCCCAGGCTCCCATGGAGCTTCCGATGGCCGCTTGGCCCCATGGCTGCCCCACTCCCATCGCAGCCTGCACTCTCACGCTTGCCACATCATGAATCCCAGTGGGGGCTTCAGGCATGGCAGTGCAGAAGAGGGGGTGCTAGGCCCCTGAATTATGGGTCTTCCTCCCAATAGATGTCTCATGGACTCTGACCCCCACACACATGACTCTTTTGGTCCCATAGAACCATGGAACGGGCCCAGCTGCCCCTGGACTCACACTCTGCTCTGTTGGGGTTGGAGAAAACAGAACAATAAACACAGATGCAGGTGGCCACCCGGCCTCTCCTGCCTGCTTCCTTGGC